TATGATCTGGTGAGATTCATCAAGGAAATCCAAGCGCAGGGGCTTTATGCTTGCCTCAGAATTGGACCCTTCATTGAGAGCGAGTGGACTTACGGGTATGTTTGGTAATGTGTCAATTCATATTTCCGGCCATTTACAAACCTTAATCAGACAAAAGCTATTTTTTACCAAAAAAACAATCATCTCTAGCAGAAATTTATCAATAATCAATGAAATCACTAGTGTTATCTGGGTTGCAGGGGTTTCCCATTTTGGTTACATGATGTTCCGGGAATCACATTTCGAACAAATAATGAACCTTTCAAGGTATGTTATTTTTCTTAACTCTTTGACCCCCAAAAATAGTGGAAAACAATTATATATAAACTCTGGAACAAAGACATTGAAAGAACCTCTTTGGCTTATAATTCTCTAGCTCTCTAACCACTACTTCGGCACAAAGATAGTCATAATAAGAAAGAAAAATGTGTTGTGAAATCTATTATATTTGTCTAAATTACAGGGTATTCTGCAACAGAAAGAATCGAAATTAGGAATGAGAGGCTATGCCCTTCAAATTTAACTCGTCGGACACTGGTCTTCTCCATTTCAAATTCATTTTGTTCATTTCTATATGGAATGTTCAGCAAACTCTTAATTTTCGAATCTCTCTATAGATGCCACGTCCTTGGTGCACCACTTTAAATTTGTATGATTTTGGTGTAAAGTCAATATAACACCATGAAATTTTGGTTTTTTCTTATTCTAGGCGAAAATATCCGTTGGTTGTCTTCCAATTTTCTAGATTTTAGGTGTGAGCTGTTCATGACAGTACCTTCTTTCATTTTGGAGCATGTGACTCCGACCAAGGAGGGAGACCACACGTTGGAAGACAACAATTGATTAGTCAATGACTAGCTATCCAAGCATTCATCGCTCACACTAAAAACAACTCTGCTTTTTAGTGTGTGTGTGTGTGTGTGTGTGTGTGTGTGAGAGAGAGAGAGAGAGAGAGAGAGAGAGAGAGAGAGAGAGAGAGAGAGTTGAGTAATTCGAGTATTAATCTTGAATCTGTTAATTTCTAGATAAGAAAAACTAAGCTGTCATTGACATTTTTCCTATCTCGAATCTTGAGTTGTAGTTCTACATGCAAAACTTCACAACAAAGGTCGTCAACTTGATGAAATCAGAGGGTCTATATGCTTCCCAAGGAGGCCCAATTATACTGTCCCAGGTAGAAGAAAACCCGAAAGGCAGTTTTGCTTAAATTATTGAAAAACTAGCAACAATCCAATGTATAAAACTCATAAGACCAGGTTATGCAGATAGAAAATGAGTATCAGAACATCGAAGCGGCTTTTGGCGAGCAAGGACCCTTGTATGTCCAATGGGCAGCAAATATGGCCGTTGCACTTGAGACAGGAGTGCCCTGGGTGATGTGTAAGCAGAATGATGCCCCGGATCCAGTGGTAAGTGAACCTTATTAGGTTTAAACCGAAAATTGTGCACTTTCAGTGAAGAACCATCGATCATCAACTATCATTCTATATGTCCATGGACGTAATCTGTCCTTTCTTGGTCTCTCCTACTATAAGTGAGGAAGAATCTGTTTTCATGCAGCCTCTAATTATTGCTTTGACCCGCAGATAAATGCTTGCAATGGCATGAGATGCGGAGAAACTTTTCCAGGGCCCAACTCACCGAACAAGCCGGCTATTTGGACAGAGGACTGGACGTCCTTGTACGTCTTCCCCTCAGCAGTCTACATTATTTTCGGAAGAATTATTGAGCAGATTTAGCAAAAAGAAACAACAGAATGACAAAAAGTTTCAGAAATATTACAAAGCCGAAGAGAAAAGTAAGGTTGATTTTATATTTTTGACCAGCTTTTGTTTATTTTATTTTTTTGTGAAGCTATCAAGTCTATGGTGGCGAACCATACTTAAGGTCACCTGAAGACATTGCATTCCATGCCACACTCTTCATTGCAAAACTGAATGGAAGTTATATCAATTACTATATGGTACACCTATTCTACTAAAGTATTCTATCATCTGATTTTGTTTTGACACTGCATGTCTGTGTGTGTGCAGTCAAGTTCCAACAGCATGTATGTCCGGCGCTGTGCTAAACTAAAGATGATAAGTGTATTGCTTTTATGATGCAGTACCACGGTGGAACGAATTTTGGCAGAACAGCCGCCGCATATTTCATAACAAGTTATTATGATCAAGCTCCACTCGATGAATATGGTGAGCAGCAGATGATCTGATTCGACGTACTTCATGGATACGCAAACCATTCTAATGAATTTACTGATCCAGGTCTCCTCAGGCAGCCAAAATGGGGTCATCTTAAGGAGTTGCATGGGGCAATTAAGAATTCCTCTTGTACTTTGCTGGAGGGAGTCAAATCTAATTTTTCTTTAGGCCAGTACCAACAGGTGGTCACTATTCTTCATCAACATTCAATTTATTAAGAGCAACTAGTAGCACAATTATGGTTATAGACTTATGGTCTGTTTTTTCTCTTGATGTAGGCTTATGTTTTCCAGGAAGAAACGGGAGGATGTGTTGCTTTCCTTGTAAACAATGATTCAAAAAATAACGCTACTGTACAGTTTGGTAATAAATCATTTGAATTGCTGCCGAAGTCCATTAGCATTCTTCAAGACTGTGAAAATGCGATTTTCAACACAGCAAAGGTAAGTCGCGCACAAATTTAGATCGTCCTAATGCATGCTCACAAGTCACGACCACTTGCAAAATCAAATTAAGCTTCGAACATTTGTTATCACTTAGGATGCAGTACTTATTTGCCATTTTTACAGAAATCAAGACGCTACAGAATCTAAAAAGTGTACTAATATATCTCGTCTCGTCAACCTTTCATTCTTATTTCTTTGTGATCAAATTTTTTGATAATCCTTTGTTTCTTTTGTCTGAGAATTCTCAGGATGGAAAGGCAATCAATATTGTGATAAATTTATGGTTGTCATAGGTATTCTGTTAAATGAGAGACAACAAGAAGGTTTAATCATCGAATATACACCTGTTTTGACCAACAGAAAAGTCACTAAAGAACAAACACAATCTCCAGTAAATTGATCCACATTAGATGTACGAGTAGCAACAATGAACATGTTATTCCATCCTTCAGGAAGACAGTCATTTTTCTCTCACCTTTTATTCACAGGTAACAAGTGAGAGCAATACAAGAATCATAACATCCAGCCAGACATTTGAATGTGCAGATCAGTGGAAAGAATTCCTTGATGTAACTCCAAGCTACTTAGATACATCGTTAAGAGCAGATACATTGCTAGAACACATGAATACAACAAAAGATGAATCCGACTACCTTTGGTATACATTCAGGTGGAATCATCTTGCTAAAAGTGATTGCAACATATATCTTGTATATAATATGTTTTAGCTGATCCATTCATGCTTCTTAAAATGTCAGTTTTCAGCCAAACTCAACGTGTGCTGAACCAGTACTTCACCTTGTGTCTCTCGGACACGTTACACATGCTTTTGTCAACAATGAGTACATCGGTAAGTTCCAAGAACCGCTGAATGAATTATTGGAGCGTGATCTTACAGAGTAATGACTCATTCACAGCCTGTCTTATGACATTCATTCAAATAGCAATAAACAGCTGAAGACATACCGATACCATTCAACCAAAATACAAAGTCATACTGAGACCAATGACAGATTTATGTAGGTCCAAAATTTGCAAGAAGATATGGATGAAAAATTTCATACAGAGTTCAAATAGTTAGGAAAAATAATTCTGCAGTCCAGATTCACGTAATGAAACATCTAAGCTTGCTATTGCTGATTTAGGAGCGGCCCATGGAAACCATGATGTCAAAAACTTCACCATGGAGACCAAAATTGTGTTGGACAATCAGATGAATAATATTTCCATACTCAGCGTTATGGTTGGACTGCCAGTGAGTATTTGCTTAAACTTTTCATATCCAGTAAGTTTGCAAAATTATGTGGCAATTGACATGATCTATCACCTAGGACTCAGGAGCATTTCTAGAGAGAAGATATGCTGGATTGGCCGAGGTGGAGATCTGGTGCACTCAAGACCAGTCATATAATTTCAGAAACTATTCATGGGGATACCAGGTAAGCTCTTATCTGGACAAGTATACAACAGCAGAGTAAAAGTGGACAATAATATATCTCTCCTTAGAACGGAAAAGGTAACAACTGATAGCTAATAATGTTATTATTGCTTGTTAAGGTGGGACTATGTGGTCAAGGATTAGAAATATACAACGAACAAAATCTGGGGAATGTTGAGTGGAGCAACATAACAGCTGTGAACCAGCCACTTACTTGGTACAAGGTAAATTACGTTTTCACTTCTTAAATGAACCTCAAAGTAATACCAATAAATGGGATAATAACTTGCAGGTTATCACAAAAATATGGGGCAGGGATTAACTTGCACTGTTATTATCTCCTGCAACTTGATTATTTGTCTTTCACTAAAAAAGAAAATGAGTTCCTATCATTGATGATGGAGAAAACTAATTCAAACTTCGATTATTAATTCTTTTAGTTTTTGTAACAAGAATCTGCAGTTTGCATGAAAACTGAGGTCTAACCAATAAACAAGTGACAGCAAAAAGTGCTTAGAACAGATGAAGTTGTTCGTTCATCATTATAAGCTCATATCATACTGCTTTGCAGACTTATTTTGATGCACCAGAGGGCAGCGAACCACTTGCATTAAATCTTACAACCATGTCTAAAGGAGAAGCTTGGGTGAATGGACAAAGCATTGGTCGATACTGGGTATCATTTCGTACACCAAAGGGAAATCCATCACAAACTTTGTATGTTAAAGTTATCCACTTAATCATGAAGTTACATTACTTTCTATTTGTGCAATATTCTCTTATTTCCAGCAGAGGATAGATGGAGATTAACTGAAAGGATTTTACCCAGTGGAAGCATAGAACAATAGTGAAACAGTAGGCTGAACATCAGACACCTTGGAAACAAGAGACATCCCTTCAAATTTGTCCATGCTTGAGGCCCGTTGTTCAATAATAAACTGAATGGGAAAACAAAATACACCTCAGTCTATTGCACGTCTCGACACGTACAGCTTCTCGCCAACAGCTACAACCGTGAAAAGAGACGTTGCAGCTTTTCCGGACTGTCAAGCAAACACTTCACAACTGCAACATCCTCATAACTGCAAAAACTTACAATTGCTTTTAGAAAGCTAATATATAATATTTAGTAGCATAAACACAAGTTAAAGCACTTCAAATCACAACAAAAGCATAACACAACACAACTATCATTCAGTCACTATTATACTGAACGAATTCTAATAGTCAAAGCTAGTCTATTAACTAAATGGATGAGTATTGAGGAAATAGGAATACCAGAAACCTTTGATCGCAAAAATAATACGATAGTATACATGCATAGTGAGGATTAAAAGCCCTTATCCGGAACCTGATAATATCTATATGCAACTTTCTCATCATCTCCGTCAAGTGGAACACAACGCAAGACTATTCAAAGTCCATCAGAGACAAGTCAACGCAAAAGTTTTTGATCAGCAAGTAGCTAGGCATCACAAAGTTGCATACTCTCTCCTGCTTATATAAATTCGAATTATATGTCCCTCTCAAGCATTGATTTCGTTTTAATTTTTTTCTCTGTTTTCAGGTATCATGTACCTCGATCCTTTCTGAAAGCCTCAGGAAACCTACTAGTTCTGCTAGAAGAAGTTGGTGGTGACCCCCTTCATGTATCCTTATGCGCCTTATCAGTCTCTACGTTAAACGATACCTCTTCACACTTCCATCTTCCTTCATGAGATGAAGAGATTGAATACAGATGTATGTAAATAATTCTTGGTATATTGAAAAGCTTTTCATTATTATGAAAGGGTTCTTTCCAGGAAAAAAATGCATCATCAGCCAACTCAATATGAAGAGATATATCCCATACGTTATGAGGAGGAACATTAAACTGTTGAATTTGTTAGACAACCAAAGGAAGTAACAGAAAGTACTGAGAAGTAATTTGAGCACAATAGCATCTATGGAGACATTGTTGTACCAACCTTGATCGTGCTTATTCTTCCCATTGTTGATAATTTCATTGACCGATTAAAAGTTGATTTTTCATGAGCACCTGCGAGGTACTCTCTGCACGAATTTTGTGCCGCATAATGATTTTTCCTATTTAAGTCATTTTTGTGCATCATGGGCAACCTTTCATCTGGAGAATGGGCTAGTTTGTACATATATTGATAAACTCATTTTTAAAGTTTCAGAGGAACTCTATATGGCAGAATTCAGCATGCCTGCATAATTATACCATTCAACAAATATCTAAAATCGACCAAAAAAAAAAATATCTAAAAACATTTCAAGATGGTCTAGAATTGGAACAGATATGACATTACAAACAGATGAATGAACTGGCAAGGACTTGCAAGAAATGCACACTAGATATTTTTAAAAGCTTATTTTACCCCAAAATTATGACCATTTTGTGTAAGCCACGTTGGATCTTTTCCATGTTTTCCTGGTAAAGGACCTCGTGAGATACTTTACTGATACTTTACCCTCGACAGCATTACGTGATATAAGAACAATAGACCAGAACTAATTTCTTGTGCATGGAGTTCTGTTACAGGCAGCAAACTCTTAATTCGTAAATGCAGAACATTTAAAGATACTGGAAACAAGTTAGACATAGTTTAGCATAAAAAATTACCTTCCTTGAGTTTAGTACCTGAATGCATCTTCTCCATGGGTATCCACCAGTGTCTGATGGCTTATTCCTGGCCTAAAAAGAGGTTTTGGAATGTGAACTTGAACTCACCATGCCATTGCCAGCAGACCACAAACGTCAGTCCAGATAGCACATCCAAAACTAGGACTTGTGACATGAACTTGAAAAAGTTGTCCAATGAATGCTAGCAATTAGAAAAAGGGTACCTGATTTGGTGTAGGCGTTTCGTCAAACAGGTAAACGGGTTGACAGCCCCAACCATTCTTGGAGTCTCCTTCAAGTATTTGAACTAAATCTCAATATACGGTTGCATGGATGCTAACTAACATTATAAATGACAAATCTTTTCCCCATCTTTAGGTTCTTTGTAGATTCTGAAGCCCACAGCATGAAAAACATGTTTTCTAGCAATGTAAGACCGAGGGTTTTGGGCAAGTTTAGTCTTAGGACACACAGTTCTAGCTTATGCATTCAAGGCCGGATTCTTATACAGGACTAAGATTCAAGAGTCCAGGAACATGATTGTCGGCCCACATACCCAGCTCATTCATGGGTCGAGGCTACTTATTCATTCGCTCTATGCTTTTTCCTTCCATAGATCAAAGACTTCGTAGCCGTGATAGATAAAAACACTTTTGAACTCACAATCAGAAGCAAATATTAATTTCCAACATAGGATGCACCTTAGACCGTAAGAGAGCACAGGCATAGCACAATGATATAAAACTAAGAGAACTAAGAGAGCACGAGAATTTTTGAATAAATGATTAAGTTTGTAGACGCAATATTGTTACCGTCAATATAGGCTTTGTGAGCTACTAATGGCGTTCGTTTAAGGTCTTTAAATTTAGGAGGTGGGCTCGTGGACTGCCCGATCGTGCAGGCACATATGAGCTATTCTAACTGGTGGTATAGTACCGTGCCGTTCAGCCAAGCCATCACAATGTTAAATCTGGATATGGGCCCTTATTCTTGTATCGCTGAACGAAATTTTATTAAACTATGATAAGCATGGATGACTGGAAAAAATGTAAAATTAGCAAGGTGTATCTTTTTAATGCATTTTAAAAATTGACTTGACAGTTTTTGATAGAGATCACATTGCACAAATCACATGAGTTAGAGGATTAAATTGCATAGAAAATAGTTAAAAGGCGGAAATTGAAAGAGGGCCCCAAAAATTAGAAGATTTAACCGTGTACGAAGTAGCAGCCCTCTCCCTTGACGGCTCCGTTTTGGACGTGGAAAGATTAGTGGGCTTCTAATTATAGAGTACGAACTTCTAGTCTAGATGCTCCAAATTAAGTATATAAGAGCACTCTAGTACTCCAAATATCACACCCCGACTTATGCAAGTACAGGGGAAATGACAAGAACGTCATCCTATCCAAAGAACGCAATCTCGAATATAACCAATATTAACTTGTTATCAAGATATATGTCTTCATATATATATATGATAAAACGATAATCTAGTTATAAAATCATAGTACTAAGATCTATAAAAACAATATATACATCTCACCACCCAGCTAAACCCAACAAATTATCATCTCATATATATATAGCTCATACCCAAAATCCCACTATTAAAATTTCCACCTCGTCCCACTTATCTCTAGCTAAAGAACTTGAAAAAGATATAAGATGAACGGTATGAACAACCACAGCCCACTAAGTCAAGCGAATCTCTTCTAAGCATATTGAGTATCGACTATGCATATTTATCAAAAAACCTATGACTCCTATATCCCAAATCCAATATATAATATAAGTACAATGTCAAAAATGATAACAAAACTTTATATATCAGTAATACTTATTCCATTAAATCAAATCTAGTGCTCACTATCCAATTGATCAATCTAGTGCTCACCATCCATCTATGGTTACGCTTAACACCTGTGATAAAAGCAACCAAGATTCCTCCCTCGATTAAGTCTCTACCTATATTATCGGTAGCTCACATCTCAAGGATATCCTAAAAGCAGTATGCATACTAAAAAACCCCTCAATGGTTCAGAACATAGCGATATTGAGTATCAAACTACTAACATCATCCTCCAATAATCACAAATCAAATCCAGAGTCCATATAATAATTTAAGTTCACTAACCAAAACATATAAGGTTTCACAATCTAATTTATTAAGCAGAATACATTGTATAAATCAGATTCATAAAGCAGTACATATAACTTTTCACCATACATTTCATACAACGTTTTTAAAAACATTCAAAAAAAAGCAAAAAGTAATAAACACCCGATCCGTCTTTATGCAAGAAATACTCTCCAGACATCACCTTTTCATTATCATACCATCTAATGCCTTCTTTCATTACTCATAATATGTCCAATTCTTATTATTTTCAAGACATGAGTTTACAAAGTCCAAAAAGAGATAAGTACCACTCACAGCTAATTAAAAGCCAAGTTGAATGTTATGTAACTCGGAAAGCTTCAAAATCTGAATGCTTCAAGATGGTGTTAATCCGACTTGTCAAGACTTTCGAAACATACGTGAGCCGAAATCCCTTTCACTCTCTCTCGATTTCTTTCCTTTTTCTTGTTTTGTAAATCTCGATCAAATCAATCTTTTCAATTCTTTCAAACTACTAACATCATCCTCCAATAATCACAAATCAAATCCAGAGTCCATATAATAATTTAAGTTCACTAACCAAAACATATAATGTTTCACAATCTAATTTATTAAGCATAATACATTGTATAAATCAGATTCATAAAGCAGTACATAAAAATTTTCACCATACATTTCATACAACGTTTTTCAAAACATTAAAAAAAAAAAGCAAAACGTAATAAACACCCGATCCATCTTTATGCAAGCAATACTCTCTAGACATCACCTTTTCATTATCATACCATCTGATGCCTTCTTTCATTACTCATATTATGTCCAATTCCTATTATTTTCAAGACATGAGTTTACAAAGTCCAAAAAGAGATAAGTACCACTCACAGCTAATTAAAAGCCAAGTTGAATGTTATGTAACTCGGAAAGCTTCAAAATCTGAATGCTTCAAGATGGTGTTAATCCGACTTGTCAAGACTTTTGAAACATACGTGAGCCGAAATCCCTTTCACTCTCTCTCGATTTCTTTCCTTTTTCTTGTTTTGTAAATCTCCATCAAATCAATCTTTTCAATTCTTTCTCTGCGCCACTTCTCTGTTTGTCGAAAAGCAATGTCTCTAAGTTGGCCAAAGTAAGCTTAGGGCCTGTTTGGCAACTAGCCAAATAGTGAAAATTTTCTTCTTTTGATTCCAATCAGTTTGGAATGTAAATCCTTTTGTTAAATTTTGATTCTAAGCACAAATTCTTGCAAATTTGTGCCGAATCGCTTTGGAGTAGGATCAAGAATAAAAAAAATAACTTCTTGATTCTATGAACAAAAATGAGAATCAATTTTTTTTCTTCTTTTTTTCTTGGTTTTTAATGTAGCTTCTAATATCCCGCGAGGGCCACCTCGCTAGATCTCGGCAAGATTAAAATATTTTAATAGAAAAATGTTATTAATAAAAAAATATTTTACCGCCATGAACAAAAAAATTATTTTACTCACCATGGCTAGCGACTAGGTCATGAAAAAATATATATTATTAATAAAAAAATATTTTATCTGCCATGGCTGACTGTGCCAGGGCAAAAAAGGAAAAAAATATTTTCAATAAAAATATTTTTTATTAAAATATTTTAATAAAAAATATTATTAATAAAAAAATGTTAATAAAAAAATATTTTACCGGCCATGGTAAAAAAAAATAAAAAAATATTTTCAATAAAAATATTTTTTATTAAAATATTTTAATAAAAAAATATTTTACCGGCATGGCCAAAAAAAAGAAAAAAATATTATTAATAAAAAAAAATTTACCAGCCATGTCCAAAAATAATAAAAAAAATTATTTTTTAATAAAAGTATTATTAATAAAGAAATTTTTTACCGGCCATGGCCAAAAAAATAAATAAATTATTTTTAATAAAAGTATTATTAATTAAAAAATATTTTACCTGCAATGGCCAAAAAGGAGGAGAAGAAAAAAAGAAAAGAAAGAAATATTAAAATATTATTAATAAAAAGAAATTTTATGCCGTTACCAAACGCATTTCTATTCTTTTACTATTTCAATAATAGAAATTTTGGGCCATTACCAATCGCTTTCAAATGCTTAGAAATTGTTCCCGGGCACAGAATAAAAAATAATCATTTCTGATCAGAATCTATTCTCATGTACAAAATGGTTGCCATGCGCACCCTTAATCATGTACCATGTGTCCAATAGCCCATTAGTTAATTTATTTTTTGATTTTAGCGTGTAAATAGGATATGTGTCCTATTCCATGCATATCCATGCACTAAGCTAACTTATTGGTCTTGTTTTTTTTTTTTTTCAAAACTTCAATTATTACATTCTACCCCTTTAAAGAAAATTTCATTCTAAAAATTTGAATTTATCTCAATTTTCAAATAAATGAGGCTGGTTCTCCATGGCCTACCAACTGAAGGGGCATGTCTCCGTATGGAACAATTACTTGTAAATGTTCAGGTTGCCTGTATTGGAAACATGATCTACTATGAGCTAGAGCTATCCTCTACATAGGACAGTCTCGTGCCATGGATCCCAATTTTTCCACATAGAAAACATGCCCCTTTTTTTTCCGGCGTCATTGGCCGCCGTGATGTTTCCGGCAAGTATTACAAGGGCCCTGATTTCTAAAATAAACCGGCCGATTGTTACCTCTCCACTTGCTGCTGACACTCGCACCGTTGTCTTGGAAATCAGTTGGCTTGGGTCTCTTGTGCTGATGAGTGCTCTATGTATCACAATCAATCGGGCAGATGCCTTTTTCTACCTTTATTGCCCGCTCCAAGACATCTTTGTAAGTTGTCAGCTCATGAGATGAAAGTTTAGAGCGGATCTTTGGTCAAAGGCCACTCTCAGAATGTTCAGCCTTGTTTTTCTCATCGGGCCATAAAATTTTTTTGCTAATCTACTCAACTGATTGAAGCGGCCAGCATAATTTATCACCGCAGAGTCACCCTAAGTCACCCCTCATCTTTGCTTGGACTAGAAAAATTGACCGTAGAAAACCTTGGTGAAATCCCTCCAAAAAAACAGTTGCATCTTCACTTCCAAAAGCTTGTTAGGTCCCCCTCCATGCAAATCAGGTTAACGGCTTAAAGACACTAAAAATGCTAAAAGTTTCGTATGACGCTCGATTTATTGCCAAAATTTTTCGTCGGCTCACTTAAATTTCAAATCAAAAAAAAAACGATTTTTTAGTGCCTCCCACAAAAAATTCAAGCCATTAAGTGACTTTAATAATAAAAAGTTAAATCTGACGTGACATTTTTATATTAAAAACGAGTCCATGCAGACTTCCTTGTGTCCAAGTGGGTCCCACGTTTCGTTTTTCTTCTCTTTATATCTCTCTCCTCCATTATCCTCTCTCTGAGCTCCCTCCTGGCAACAGTGGCGGCTCTCTTTCCTCATCTCCTTGTCGCTCTTCTCTCTCCTTCTCCCTTCGGCCGTCTCCCTTACCCGAACGCCTCCGGTCCCTCTTGCTTGAAAAACCCATCTGGTCATCCTCTCCCTCCGAGTTCAACCTCCGCCCCTCCCCCATCGTTGCCGCCAGCGGAGCGGAACGACGATCATGGACGAGCGTCCGCGTCTCTCACGGGTAGGCCGATTTCTGCAATTCCGCGGACTTGACTGCCGCGACCATCCGTACGTGGCCAATCCCCAATCATCATAAAAAAAAAAAAGAAGAAGCAAGGCGTCCAAACAGAAATGATCCACGAATGCCGCGTCGGCCTTCTGCGGCGCCATGATATCTGCAGAGAAGGGGTAGAACGGGGCCCTCGAAAGGCGGAAGTCAGGATGGGCCAGTGGAGAAGTAGCTTCTTCGTGGCTTGCCAGAGCATGGCGAATCGAGGTGGGAGATCGCTCGGTTATCGCGAGGTCAGAGAAGATGGCGACAGAGAGAGAGAGAGAGAGAGGTCGCAGTGATTCTGTTGTTCTTACTAGAGATTGATCGTTTGTTGTTCTTACTGGAGATTGATCGTCTTTCACTCAGTATTTACTTTTTCATCGACATTATATTTCGCTAAATACCTGACTAGGCACACCGGTGAGCCACGTTGATCGGAGAAATTAATAAAATATTGTCACGTCAGATTTTCAGCAACCTAAATCTGAGTTGGCACTCAAGTGATTATTTTTTTTTTTTAAGTGACATTTAAGTATCCGAAAAAAACTTTTGGTACTAAAATAAACGTCGTATGAAACTTTTAGCACTTCGAACATTCTTATGCCCAGGTTCACTAACCAAAGCATATAACTTTTCATAATATTCATAAATCAAGTTCATAAAGTAGTATGTATAGCCTTTCACAATATTTTTCATAAAACATTTATCAAATTATTCACGAATAACCAAAAAGTAAATGTCCAATCCGGCTTTATGCAAGAAATATACTCTAGACATTTTTCATTTCAAATATCAAACCATGTGATCCTTGTTTCATAATTCTTTTTTTTTTTTGTGTTAGAGCATTTTTCATAATTCATAAACATGTCACATTCCTATCATTTTCAAGACATGAATTTACAATATCAAACAAGACATAAAGCATCATTAACAACTAACCAAAGCCCAAGTCAAATATTACGCCACTCTCTTTTTTTCTTTTTCATTGTTTTATCATTCTCGACCAAATCAATCTTTTTTTAAGGGTGTTTTGAAAACCATTGGTACAAATATTATCATTCCTTTTGAAATTCTGATTGTGGTAATGAAGTATTATAGATTTTCGCATACAATTCTAAATCTGCATCCAACATCAATTATAGGCAGAAAATTCGCACCACAAAGATTTACTTTCTGAGGACCGTAAAAATTTGAGACCTTAGGTTTCTTTGACGCACAGAGTTCTCATTACCTTACTAACCTCGTAGGATTTTATATTAGCATCTCTAGCAATATATGCAATGGATGATGTTGTCTTGACTTTTTTTTTTTTTGGTCGAGATTGTCTTGACTTAGAGACGCGGTTTTTAACATCGAGTCTTTAACTACCATGACAATTTCATAAGTTGCACATTACATCTTTCTCAACAAACGGTCAAAGTTTCAAAAATTAAAAAAGCAAAGGAAAGATAATGATAATAAGAAACAAAGGTAGGGTCCGCGAGTATGCACGTGCTTTGAACATGCTATCAAACGCCGGACACGGACGAAGACCAGCATTGACTCCTCTCAACAACGGAGAAGATTCATGCACGCGGCAGCTCACATGAAAACGAGAAGATTTCTACACGCTCTTTTTCTCCTATATATAAGCTTGAAGGTTCATACCATGGGAGTTATTGCAATTGCTTTTCTCAACCCATCTTTGTTTTCCTCCATTAGTGATAAATCCCTTTCTGTATATTGCTTTTCTTCTTCCTCTTTGAATGCCTTTGATTGAGGGAAAGGTTTCAAAATTATTAAAGTAAGTGGTATATCTAATTAGTGCTTGCTCTTGTTAATTTGTTCTTGCTCAGGATAGTGATGATAAGTTTGGTGTTTCATGGCCTTACTATTGTTTTTAGCCATATATACATATATATGTGTGTGTGCAGTATCACCACCCTATATGATAACCTCAAATACACTTGGCATTTCCTTTGCACTCCCATCAAGTAATCAAAACCATGTCACTTTGCCTTTTACATATTGCTTTGGACCACACTTCTGGCTACACGTGAACGTTTGTATGCTCAACTAGGCCGCAAATATCTTGCCAAGTGAAGCAAGAAAGGAGGGAACAGGTGAAGCCGGTTTATAACTTTGTACCTATGTCCCATGTGTGGTCCTTTGGTCTTTAAAATATGCTCTAACACTGTAGGATTAGTAGGGATTATGAAGGAAGGGAAATGGTTCTGAAAATACAGTTGCGTTAGGATGGACGGAAACAACCGGATGGAAAGGATTAGAAGGCTAGGAGAGATTATAAGGAAATGGTCTAGTTAATTCTATGTACATTTGAAATATTGGAGAGATTTGTATACAAATAAATAAATTTATTATTCATTCTCACTTGTTCTTTTATTTTACATCTATTTAGAAATCCAATAGAAAGATATTTGTCATAATGCATTCTTTTCCTTTCTTTTCCCTCTTAGCATCTAAACAGTTTTATAACTCAATCACTTCAAGTCCTTTCTTCTCTTTTTACTCATAAATATATAAATCTCTTCTTTTCATTCCTAATTAGTCCTTTCAAATTGAGTGTAAATGTACAATTTAGTCCTTGATACTACATAATCAGCTCTTCCTTTATGCTTGGGTTTCTTTATTTTTTCTTTAGAAGCCATCATAATATAACGAAAATGACTTAATTAATAAGCTATAGTAAATTCACACCACATGCAAAATATCCCATGATGAGTGTTTGAGAGAGAGAGAGAGATGGGTGTGGCAAAAAAGCGAATTTATAAGGAAAGAACCACGTGATGGCAGACCCAACAAGTATGTCCACAAACGATTCACCCAAATCATAGACCTTCCCACTCTTCCTATTTCAATCATATCTTTCTCAAAAAAGCGAATATATAAGGAAAGAACTCATGTGACGGCAGACCCACCGAGTATGTCCACGAACCATCCACCCAAATCTTAGACCTTCCCTCTCTTCCTATTTCTGTCATCTCTCTCTCTCTCTCTCTCTTAGAGTGTGGTCTGATGCCTTTGCTTTTCAGGTGGGGGTGCACAAAAGACAAAGCAACCTTAGAGTCAAAGAAACACACTTTCCACTGATTTTGGTTCTGTTAGTGTTAATTAAACTTTCAAGTAGAACTAGGTGCCACCCAGATTGGCAAGTTAGAATTTAATTTCCACACATACAATTCACTAACAATTGCTATTTCCTTCTTTCTCTGTCTTTGTTTTGGGAGGACATTAAAGATCGGTGAGATCGCTGCCACCAAGAACAACCGAAACCACCACCACCAAGTTGGTGACATGTCCATTGAAATGCTTCCTCAGAGTGTCTCCAGACGCTCCGGTGACGAAGACTGCCCCAAAAGAACCGGTAAACAACCTTATCTTCTTATATTTTATAGTCTAGTTCATTAATACTTGTTTACTACAAGTTTGATACATCAACCATGCAAAATTTACTTTTTTCGTACTAGGAGTAACAATTTAATAGGCTTTATCCAAGTGTAATTCCTTCATAAATTACTGAAAAACTAACTTAAGAGACAATGAAAGGTTTACAACTATACAGGGTTGATTGGATTTTATCGGCTTACTGACCAGGGACCTTATGGACGGCGAGTGCGAACATAATTACAATAATGGTAGGATCAGGAGTGCTTTCGCGGGCATGGGACATTGCTCAGTTCGGTTGGATTGCAGGCCCTGCTGTGATACTCTTGTTCTCCTTTGTGGGCTACAACACCTCTCGCCTCCTCTCCGATTGTTACCGCACCGGCAACCCCAACACCGGCGAGCGTAACTCCACTTACATGGACTCTGTTCACTCAATCCTCAGTATGGAATTCTATCACCATGTTGTTGCTTCTCATTATTTGACTCCCGCACGTTGATCAAATTTCCCATTACCATATGTCTCCAAATGTATAGCAAAATGAGTCCCGTAACTTTTAATTAGGTGATAACAGTAACTCTACATTCTTAGAATATTAACATTTTCAAGTTTTTATTCTCAGGTGGAGCAAAGGTAAAAGCATGTGGTTTTCTTCAACATATAACCCTATTCGGAAACGCCATTCGCTGTAGCGTTGAAGCATCTCTCAGCATGATGTGAGTACAAATCTACTTTCCCAAACTCTTGACAAATTTATTTAGCAGATCACAATGAACTTTCAGTTCTACTGTTTCTTATATAACCTGACTGATTCAATTTTATACACGTTCCCTCTTTCCAATAAAAGGGCGATAAAATACGTGAATTGCATCCACGAGACTAATTGGGAGTACTCTTGCCAGATTTTGAGTACTCCGTACATGATCATGTTCGGCATTACAGAGGTTCTGCTGTCCCAGATTCCAGATTTTGATCAGATATGGTGGCTTTCTATTGTGGCTACTGTCATGTTCGTCACTTACTCTTTGATTGGTCTTGGCCTAGGAATTGCCCAAGTTGCAGGTACAGGCTTCTTCTTTTCTCAAGACAGATGGCCAAGAAATTTTAAGAGATTACATTACCAACATCATAAATAAGAAGTTGTTTCCATCAACTTTTTTTCTTGATGAGCAGCTAGTGGAAGTTTCAAGGGCAGTCTTACAGTAATAAGCGTTGGAGATGCGACTGAAACTCAAAAGATATGGAGTTGTTTCCAAGCTCTTGGAAATATCGCCTCAGCATACTCATTTTCTGAGATCCTTATTGAAACTCAGGTACTAAAACATGATTCCATCCGTTCAAAAACTAAGGAAATGGTTAAGAACGGATAGAACAGAATGAAATACCTTGTTTTTTCCTTTTATCTTTGGCAGGACACCATCGGATCCCCCCCATCAGAAGCAAAGACCATGAAGAAGGCCATTTCTCTGAGCACCGTGGTGATGACAACTATCTACATGCTATGTGGCTGCGTGGGCTATGCTGCTTTCGGTAATGACACTCCACGAAATTTTCTGATCGACTTGGGTTTCGACAATCCATTCTGGCTTCTTGATATTGCCAATGCTGCTATTGTGATCAATCTTGTTGGAGCATACCAATTAAACAGCCAGCCGATATTTGCCTTCGTCGAGAAACAGGCTGCTCAGAGATGGCCTCGTAGTGAGCTCATCGCTAAAGAGATAAAGATCCCGGTACAGGGCTTGGGCCAATACAACATGAACCTCTTTAGGCTTGTTTGGAGGACGGCTTTCGTGATCGTGACCACCGTGATATCGATGCTATTACCGTTTGTCTTCAAAGAACTCGTGGATATCATCAGCTTGGGATTTTGGCCTTTAATGGTCTATTTTCCCGTCGAGATGTATATTACACAGAAACGAATTCCCAAATGGAGCACTAAATGGGTATACCTGCAAATGCTGAGCATGGCCTGTCTTGTGATATCGATCATGGCAACTGCGGGTTTGATCCCAGATCTTAAGGAAGATCTTAAGACTAATCAGCCATTCGGGATGATCTACTAAAAAAATGCGTGGACCTTTGGTTGATTGGCCATTTCAGAAGAAAAAAAAAATAACATCATGGAAGTTCTAGTTTCATTGTTTGGTATGGAATTACGAACTCTGTATGTTCTATCCACTGCTTAGGAAAGCTTGCTTTTTTATTAAGGTGATGGTCACACATTGTCCTTTTGTTTTAAAAGAAAAAAAAAACAGAAAATTTTGGTTATTCAAGTTGCCACGTCCACGTACATTGGGTTAGACTCCACTCATATGTTGACAAGCATGCCGGCCTTCCAAGGTTAACATGTGTGGGAGAATTGTGATATGAAAGAAGAATGTCCCATATTATTATCATGTATACATCAGTAATTAAACTGAATCTCATAATTTGAAAGAGTTGTATATTCTTTGCAGGAAGAGTAAAAGAAAAGAGATGTATGGATAATAACGTTTAAAGAAAAAAATGATTTTATTACCACTTGGACAATACTTTAAAATTAGTTAGATAAGGAATATGAATGCAGGACGCAAACCCAAGCGTGAATGAGAATTCCTTCAAATAATTAACATGCGAATGTTGAAACATCACATCGATGAGTTGGCTTACATTGAATATACTATAACCCGTTCAGATTGATTGGCTTGTCCATACCTCTTCGACATCCTTGACTAACTGCCTTTTATCAAATGTTGTCCCCTGGCCTCAGTCAAACAGCTCTATCATATGATAAGGTTAGCATTTTGCATATGATTTTATTGAAAGTTCTCATGACTATCGATGCAGGGATTAGGTTTGCAACTACAGAGCTAATTACACAAGATAATTCTCACATAATACTGAGAAATTTGTTTCATACATATCCAAAGAAAGACACAAAAAGGTTCCATTTTCATATATTGAACCTCCACCATATCTTTCATTTTGGACACTCGAGTTTTATAGCTTAGGAAACCAAATTGGACCCAAAAATCAACTTCCAATCAAGAGTTGAGACATCCATCAGGATATTAATATTGAATTGATAGTAGTTATTTGATATATAACTGAACATATTCAAGTTTTGGTTTGATTTCCTTTGATGTCAAATAGATTTGTTTGAGGGATAATGACATAAATGGTTCCTGAACTTTGGCCCAATATACAATGTATCCCTGAACTTTTAATTTGTTCAATATGGTCCTTAAACTTTAGCCTAATGTTCAATGTTTATTTGTTCAATGTGATCCATGGACTTTTAGTACATGTTCAATGCAGTTCCTGAACTATATGAAAATGTTCAATGTTGTTCTTCCATTAATTCAGCATCAAGGATAATATTGAACATTTTCTATAATCGATGGACTAAATTGAACATGTACAAAAAATTCAGAGAATAAATTGAACAGATTAAAAATGTAGAGACCACATTGCACATTGAGTTAAAGTTTAGGGACCACACTAAACAAATTAAAAGTTCAGGGATCACATTACACATTGAATTAAAGTTCAGAAACCGTTTGTGTCATTTTCCCTTTGTCTAATCATTCTGGTGGTCAGCTCGACCTACCTTGTCCAAAGTCTTGCTCGAGTCCCCCTCAAGTCTCAAATTAAATGGCTATACACTGTCTAAATGATATCTATATAGGCATCTCCATTTGTTGAATGTAGACTTGTTATTGTTTGACCAACTTTTGTTCTTTATTCGTCTTTTTTAAGTTTTCACTGATGATCAATCTACTCAATGTCCTGGGTAAAAGAATATTTATCTGCTATTTTACTTTTGCACGTGATTATGGCGCTCAGTAAAGTGTTTCATGTAATAATTGTATCGAGTGAACAATTAACACCGATGTCATGTATTCAATCAAATGTTTTTATCTATCACGTGATGACACAAACATTACATGAAGAGCAAGTAGTGCCTACGCTCTCTGTTTGGTGGATCCAACTCACGTGCACCAATAAATCATATGGATCGTACGTAAGGTCCACCTCACATGTGAGCTAGGCATGCACTGGATTCAGTATTTCTCTCTAGTGACTAGGACCAATCATATATAGGAGCATTATGGCTTGAAATTCTCGTCTAACAATGTATTAGAAAGCACGAGTCAGCCATCTTTGCATACGCTGCAAAGCACACAAACGTCATCTCTCGCGCTTGCTTGGGTTGACAATGGTACTCATTCAGTGTTTTCCTCGCTATGCAAGCTCTCTCTCTCTCTCTCTCTCTCTCTCTCTCTCTCTCCACGCAAAATTATGACTAATCCCTAAAGCCACTTTGAATCTGTTACATTTTTTGCTGGTAAAGGACCTCGTGAGATACTTTACGTAATATACACCCAACGACATTGATGGAAGAACAACAGACCATCGAATTAATTTCTTGTGCACAGAGTTCTCTTACAGGCAGCAAACTCTTAATTCGTAAGTGCAGAACGTTGAATGATATGGAAACAAGTTAGACATAGTTTAGCACAAAAGATTACGTTCCCTGTGTTTGCGTACCTGGACGCACGTTCTCCCTGGGTATCCGTCCACCATTGACTGATGGCTTAATCCTGGCCTTCGGGCACGTTGAGTCTTAGGACGCGCAGTTCTAGGTCAAGCATTCAAGGTCAGATTCTTATACAGTAGATAGAGTCAAGGAATATGATTGTCGGCCCACTTGCCCAGCTCATTTATAGGGGAAAATTGTCCAAAAAGTCTTAAACCTATTGCACTTTTGCCAATTCAGTCATAAACCTTTCAAGTTTGCCAATTGAGTCATAAACCTTTTCACTTTTTGCCAATTGAATCCATCCAATCAATTTTGGCCGCCCGGAGCTGACGTGGATGCTGGCCGTTCGGCCAACGCTGACGTGGCAATTTTAAATATTTTTAAATATTTTTTTTGAATTTTTAAATCTAGCCTTCTTCCCTCTGGCCAGTCGGCCAGAGGATGGCGAGGTCAAACCGGCCAGAGTCGAGGGCCGGCGAGGTTCATCTCGCTGGCCCCTGGCTGGGCGAGGTTAATGGCGAGGTTGAGCCTCCCCCAGCCAAGGCGAGGCCATACTTGTTGTCGCCTGGGTCGCGATGGCGATGTCGGCCTCGCCAGATCTGGACGAGGTCAAGCCTCGCCTTGGCACCTCGCCCAGCCAAGGCGAGGCCGACCTCTTCGTCGTGCCCCAGGCAAGGGAGACCCAGGCGACGGAGAGGTTGGCCTCACCTTGGTTGGGCGAGGCTCGACCTCACCCAGATCTGGAGAGGTCGACCTTATCGTCGCCTGGGTTGTGACGGCGAGGTTGGCCTTGCCTTTGTTGGGCGAGGTCGAACCTCGCCTAGTTAGGGGCCGGCGAGGGCGAGCTTCGCCAGAGGCCAACAAGGTTGACCTCACCGGCCCTCGCCTCTGGCCAGTTGCCGGATCGGCCAAAGGGAAGAAGGCCAGAAAAAAAAAATAAAAGGAAAAAAATAAAAAAAAATTCGAAAAAATAATAATAAAATTATTAAAATTTGCCACGTCAGCGGTGCCCAGACGGCCAATGTCCACATCAGCTCCGGGCAACCAAAATTGGCCGGATGAACTCAATTGGCAAAAAGTGAAAATGTTTAGAACTCAATTGGCAAACTTGAAAGGTTTAGGACTGATTGGCAAAAGTGCAATAGATTTAGGATTTTTTGAACAATTTTCCCCATTTATGGGTTAAGGCTACTTATTCATTCTCTACATTCTTTTTCCTTCCATAGATCATTTATGGGTTAAGGCTACTTATTCATTCTCTACATTCTTTTTCCTTCCATAGATCATAGAAGTAAGGGATAAGTGCATTGAAAGTCCTAAACTTGTCATGAAAGTGCAATTGAGTCCTAAAACTTTCATAATGTGCAATTAAGTCCTAAAACTTATTACGAAAGTGCAATTGAGTCCTAAAACTTTCAAAAAGTGCAAACAAGTCCTAAAACTTGTCAAATTGATTCAATCAAGCCCTTCCATTGATTGCACTTTTTGAAAGTTTTGGACTTGATTGCACCTTTGTGATAAGTTTTAGGACTTGATTGCACTTTTTGAAAGTTTTAAGACTTGATTGCACTTTTGTGATAAGTTTTAGGACTTGATCGCATTTTTTGAAAGTTTTAGGACTCAATTGCACTTTCATGACAAGTTTTAGGACTTTTAGTGCACTTATCCCGAGAAGTAAATTACAGTGAAAGACAAAGACTCTTTTCATCCAATAATTAGAAGGAAAAATATTATTTTCATAGAGCGTGTTTGTTTCGCAAAAATGATATAGAGCCACAACATAAGTATTACTTATATTAATAAATAGGACTTGGAAGAAACTTTATTTATTCGAAATTTGAGACTGACAATTGCCTTTGAACAATGGGTAGAGGAAAAGAAGAAAGAAAACTACCATTGAGTATGTTAGTGATCATTTATAGACTATGATATTGTTGATCAGGATATTAATTTACCGATTTGACGGTATATTATAGGATTGGTATGAGTCGTGATGTAATATTTTTTGAGAAATTTAAAGTTGAAAGTAAACTTAGATCAAAGAATAATACAAGCTCCAATATATGGGGGCAAACGTCGCGATCCTATCACTAATCATCAGTCGATCATGATTTGAATTATATCCAAGTGGTGCGTATATTCAACTTGACTTTTGCATACCTCAGAACTTCCTGAGTCTACTAGGAGCGTCCAGCTAGCCATTTTGATTTTTCTGAATTTGAAGAACGAGCACAAATCCAATTCAAGATCTATCGACTTTGCAAGGAACCACATTACATAATCAAATCTGGATGCGCGTCCGATGAACCTGTTTTATTTGGCATTGTTTGAGTACATTCATCTACTCATGTATGGTTGTCTATTTAAAGTAGATATACTCCGGCAATTTAAATAGGTGGTTGTTGTTGTATTTGTTCTAGAGTTGAATCGATTCACTTTGATTCTACATTCTAGACCCTCTGCTTCGGACATAAGCTCGTTTCTAACTTACTGGGGTTGCTTTTAGGGTCTCCTATGAAAAAAAAGGGGACCCATCTCGTGTGCGAAATTGATTGGTTATAGACATTTA